CCTGCAGACCGCCACAATTGTCACAGTGGAATTTATTCCGCTCGCAGAGCATCTCTTCTGCAGAGAATTTCCTCAAACACGAGGTAACCGACGAATGCTGTTCCAGATCAACCGACAGATCCAGGAAGATCTCATCTCGCTGAGAGACGTTCTCGCAGGTCAGACATTGTGTTTCGGACGTCAAGGTTCCTTCGAACAACTCGTGCACCCATCGCGTAGTGTTGGGGGTCTTGGAACCAGAACTTAATGACTGTTGTGAGGATTCCATGCTTTCGGGGGGTGGCAAGCTCCTCTCGGGCTGCTTCATGGCCTCCGCTTCGACATTCGCTACCACCTCGTTCAGTAAAAGGATCAAGAACTCATGGGCATCCTGATGCATGGCAGTCCGAAACATCTCATGGTCCCGACGGAGAAGTTCCAACAAGCGCTGTGGTCTTGTTATACCAAGACGAGCCTGGCTCGCCACGATCGACTCAAATATATCCTTCAGCGATGTAAATAGCGACTCCGACATTCCGTAGCTGGCTGAATTGTTCGTGGTTTCTAGAAGGGGAAGAGTCTGTAAGGCCATCTTCTTCTTGTATTCCGGTGAGTCTTTATCTTCGGGCTTTTGTGGCTGATTCGGGGGCGCCCCCGGACGTTGTGGCGTAGCAGCCTTCTGCTTCTCTGCTTGTGTCTCCGCTTCCATATTAGCAACCGGGTTTTGGTAATGAAGGTTTTTGACCAATGCGGCTTCCAGGTTCTCTATCGGTGTTCTGATGGGATAGTTTATAACGGCTTCTCGGAATGGTACTGAATAATAGAGACATTGTAATATGGAGTTACAGTAACTATTCGCAAGCATTAGCGATCCAGTCACTTGGGGTCTATGTGATCACTTGAGGCAGGTAGACCGGCAGCCGGGCGCAAACAACTCACCATGTATTTCCGAACTAGACGAGAGAAGTCTATCAGCAAAGATTCTAAGAGCAAGTTGTTTTAGACGCAGACTTACATTCTCCATCGCAAAGAACTTATCACTGCCATCTTCTCGGATCGAGCCCATATCCTGGAGCATTTTCTCTAGCGGGGTCATCGTCGGCGCCTGGGGTTCTTTCTTGGTGGGAGGCGTCCCAACCGAAGGCGTGGGTCCCTGGGGACAAGACGGTTAATATTCGTCATTTGATAGTGGTGAGGACAAAGGCATTGGATGAATAAATCCTCGTCCGGCCCCGACCGTTGAGCGCCTTCAATGAAGGGAACGAGACAACATGATTCTCGGCCATGGAACTAGAGCGATTGCACCACTGGGAAGGCATATACTGAGCCAGCCAGGCCGCCGACCAGGATAAAGACTCACCACATCTCTCCGGAAACTCCTCAGAAAAGACCCCATGATTATCGCACAATCTCGTGAATCTTAATTCAGCCTCATCGGGCAACTGACGGTGGGAAACCGAAGCCGACACCCGGACCAGAAAAGAGAGCGGCAATGTGTAAGTTCGTCGGACCACGCGCGGATCGGGGAGTGTCAGCAGGCACGATCGAAGGACGGGAAGGCAAGCAGAAGTGATCCTCGAGGAGTCGCGTTATAGGATTGCGGTGATGGTTGTCGACAGGAACCAGGTAGAAGATTTAGCAGTGCGCGGAACCGACCAGAGTTGTTGTTGCAGGACTGGGGCCTGGATATGTGGATTGCGAGAGCGTGGAATGGGGCGGAAACGTGAACGGGCGGCGGATTCGAGAAAAGGTGGAGAAAGACCGCGGTCCGAGTCGGAGACGAGGGAACCGAGAATCGCGCAGGAGATTGGGATGAGAGATTGAGGGGTGGAAATTGGCGGCGTCAAGAAGGGCGAGAGAAATTGGGAGCGAAAGAGAGTGGGCGAGGGGAGAGAGTGAGAGAGTGAGAGAGTGGGATAGAGAAATGAGAATTGGGGAGAGATGAGAAGGTGAAGGTGGGCAAGACAGACAGTCAGGCAGTCAGTGAAGATGGCGGGAATCCCCAGGCTTGTCTGTCAGGAACCCTTTCCTTAGTCACAGCCTCGAAGCACCAACGAAGTATGTTATAGTTCGGTTCCCGTACAGAGTGGCCAACTTACTAGGTAGAGAGAAACTCTTTTGCCTGTTCGTATCGTACGTACGGTATGGACCTGGTATGGGTATCGTTCCATCTTAACTGTCCTACCCAATCAAGTACTATACTGTGTACTGGCTGTATCTCACCCTGGCGGGCCTGAGCGATCATACTTTGGGACTCGGGGAGAAAATGAGGGGAAAAGAGGAGAGATTTCGATTAGATTTGCTACTACGTACAGTACATGAATTATGCTGATATTCTCAATTGTCTCATCGATAATTATATCTTATGCCTTTTGTGACTGATCCCATGACAAGACCTCAATGGACGGGGCAGGAAAAGCTGGGCCGCTGTCGGTGAACGTGGGAGAATCGGTTTTGGCGGTATCTGTCGGTTCAGTCGGTAAGTTATCTTCCCTTCCACTCCCACTCCCACCTTACCTTAACTCCGCTCTTTCACCGATTGCTGCTGATTAACGTGCCAGAGGAAGGAACTAGAAATCTGACTAAGTGACCCCTTCCATCAGATCAGAGGGAGGAGAACAATCCCGATCGTTTCCCCTCATTCCAATGTTTTCTTGATTCCTGGTTTCTCACTCAAGGAGGGAGGAGGAGGGGAGAGAGGGGGAAAAGCCGGGTTGCTACGTTGATGTGGTCCGGGACATTCGAATCTCTACGTCAGTCAAATAATGACTTGGTTTAAGCTCCTCCACCAGACAATGAAACATGGACGTGCGCGAGGCCCAATCTCGATTTTCAATGGCCACAGGCAAACATCTCTGGAGCACATCCACCCGGTGGCCGGTCGGACTGCTGGCAGCCTAGCACCCTCCGCCCAACAAGTGTCAGACCAACTACACATATGTAATTATATCACCGGAGAATTCCAGTCAGTAGCCCTGCGGCCTACGAAGGGCTACACAGGCTACACACGTTTACCAACGGCTCGACGTTGTGTGACAGTCTCTTAAACCAGAACGTCGTGGTATGCACCACCATCAGGCCCATTGGGGCAGGTCGCAGAACATGGAAGCACAGCAGAGAGCAACCAGAAAGTGAGGGTGACCTTCTAGAGCCGGGCGAAGCAATCCTTCGGATAATATAGCACGCATCATCAGGTGCAGCCAAAGGTTGCGGCCGGGGTTGCATCGACCTCGCCATCCCCAGATTATGATAGGTTGCCAGCCCATTGGCATGGCCTAGCTCGCCAATGAGCCATCACAACCGCCCGAATGCTATCAAGTAGTAGCGATCAAGATACAGTCCGGCCGAGCGACTGACCTGCAGCTGCAAGTATGAGCACCCAAACAAGATCGTTGGACTACCTTGCCACGCCCTTCTCCGGTTTGCTGCATATGAACAAAAGGAGAGGGATCGGAATATTGACCACGAATGAAAAGCCATGGGATTTAGCCCTAGGCAGCGGGACGAAATGCAGTGCGTGATTTTGGTGACCTCCCTGGTCGGGGCCTGTCCTAGCGGGCGTCCTTGGCGGGCGGCTTCAGTGCTGGTGGCCACTCTTAGCGGTCGTAATTCAGGAGTCCAGAAGGTGAGTTTGACATCCCAGGGATAGACAGCTAAACATAGGAATGATAAGGGGGAGGGAGGCACGAAGGCAACCTGAGGTTCGAGTATTCCGGTTGAAAGTGTTTCAATCAGGTACAGTACACCTGAGAGCAGTGAACAAATTGCACACCTTTCTACCCTATGGATGGAGGGTTTGTCTGGAAGACTTCCTACTCAGATACGGAGTGAGAATCAGAATCTCAAGACTCGATCTCCTCCCCGACCGCGGAAGCCGTTACCAACGTCATACCTTACGTTTCTGTGAACTGGTAAGGTAATGTAAGATGGTACACCAGAACCACGTGGAAACACCAGGATCATCAAAGGGCCAGCAGACCAATCGAGATCATTGCAGCTCCCCACCATTCCCCATCACCCCAGCATTTGAGATACTAGCGCCATACGCATGCTGAGGGGAAGACTCGTATAACATTAGCCGTCTCTCCTCCTGGGATCCTGATATACCGGTACGTATTCATGTACTCGTGTACCAACATACCAACAGACCAGCCACTCGTGTCTGTTACCGCTTTCGAAAAGTGTGCCCTGCCAGGATGGATAAATGCATGGGCATGCATGGCTGGTTGCATGCTGATGTCAAACTCAAATCAGGCTTCTATATCCGACTCGGGATAGCATAGCCACGACCCCACGAGTCTGGTCTGTGTTTCATCTTTGGGGCACTCTGCGGTTTCAGCTTGTTTTGACAGCGGTGTCACCGGTGTCACACAAACCGGTAGGGAAATGCTGGACCGATACTCTACAGGAAGAGAGATAGTCTGTCATGATGGTCCTGATAAGCAGACCACTTATGAATAGGTTAAGTTACTTGAGTAGAATGGATTAATCAGTCCAAGTAGAATCGTCCGCCCAGTTGTTGACCCCCACTTGTGCTGGAGCAGCACTGAGCCAATCGGTGTGAATTCCCACGCAGGCCCCGCAAAAGTCTGACTGCTCTTACTCTTACCGTACAGGTACATACATGAATGTACCTGACTTCGGTTTCTGACTCCGTACAGACCGTCTATCTGTCAGTGACTGGGTCACATCACCCCATGCACCTGCGCCCCTCTTCCCATCCCGCCAATGAAGCTTACTATGTGGATGGACCCCATTCTTTCCATTGCCCACAAAGAATGGGGGGAGAGCACGAGACTCCCAATTCAATGGTTGAGTAGGGGAGTGATGCTGTCAGCCTGCGTCAGTGTCCGGAGTCGAAATAAAAGCATTGGTGAGCGGTGATTCTCATGTCCTCACCAATGGTAATTGAGTAAGCCACGGCCAAAATGACACGCGCTAAGTAACGGAGAACCACGCGACACAGCTACATACTAGGAACTGTAGGCTCGTTGCTTATATTCGAATACTATTCCGATAAGATCCAATTCCTTGACTAAATTCTCGAACTAGATATTCATTCTGATGCATAAGATAATTGACGAAGTAGAAAATTCCAGATCTCCCTCAGAAGCATAAGCACAGTCGGCAATAAGAACAGAAACACAAAGCACGAAGTGCGCAAGATTGATGAATCGACTTCCCCCAAAGTCCAAGGAATTGGTTTCGACCACCGAATCAGTCGATGATCTCAACCACCCCGACGATATCTGGATAGTCCTCTCAAGCCGGGTCGTCTCTCTGCACTCATCAGCCATGGGTCCATGAACAGATCCAAGATCGTCGGACGGACTTTGGGATTCCACTGCAGTGCTCGACGCAGCCACCGCAGGAAGCCCTTCAGGTCCTCGCAATCGATATTAGGCCGCGGCTTGTTCGAGACTTCGGTCCGGGATAGGGACCAGGTCTGTCCAGTACCCGTTGGCATCCCAGAAAAGATGACTATAGGTTCCCTGACGGGTGGACTCGCGAGGGGGGTGCCCGAGAAGAGCGACCAACTCCGCGATGTGGGCGCCATCGTCCCAATGACCGTCCTTCTTGTGATTCGTGATCAATGTGCGAGTGCTGATAGAGTCCCAAGTCTATTTCCCCGGAGAGGCCCATATCAGTAGATTGGATCCTCAAATCTCATAGAGTCCGCGAAATGGGACCGGGAAAGGGTAGTATTGGAAGACTTACCAACATCCCAGCCCCCCAGCTGTCAACTTTGTAGTCCCAGCTCGGAAAGCCCAGAATAACCTTAGGCGCACGGTTGAAGTCCGGCATGACCCTCCCGCAATTGTGCTTGCCGCCGAATCGTGTTTCTCCAAAAACGCACAGCACGGGGAGTCCCCTTCATGTAGGGAATCATTTTGTGGTATAGATGGTTCGATTTTTGAGGACTTTCCGTGGCAACGGGCATTTGATCACATTTTCCTCGTACTTAGACATTCTGACCGGAGAAGCCGCCGGCAGAAGTAGGTTTTCCATCTGAAGATCTAGATGATGAAAGTCAGGGCCGGTCACCCCCTGGGTTAGAAAGTCACTGAGACCGTTAGAAGAAGGGAGTCAAAGCATTACCAGCATGGATCAGATGGGCCCCCTGGTGCATAGTTTATTACAAGACTCTCCGGATCAGTGGCTTGGCTTGATCGAGTCTTGGAACGGGATCTTTGACACCAAGGCTGCGTCCGATTTCATCTAGCTCGAGCAGACTCATCCCGAGGAGTTCATGGACTAGACATGCGTGACGACCGTTGGGACCGTGAAGGCAGAAATGATCGAGGAGTTTGCGGATGTCCGTTTGGCCAGGGCGGTCGGTCTCTATGGATTGTATGCGATTGTAGACACCGATCCCATGTTCCGTTCCTCGGTCCAGTCTATAGACTTTAAGGACGACGTGAGTCGACTCGCTTCTTTCAAGGCCACTTTTAACAAGACCTAGCTCTTGGTTTGCTGCTTTGTATTCGGACTTACACGAGATCGCGAGCCAGCCAGACGGCCGTCTGCCCACCTTCGCCGATCTTAGAGATCACTTGATATCTGTCGTTTATGATCTCTCCTTATTCCACTGGGTAGTATGACTCTGAGATATAGCTTGGTAAAGTTTTTTCTTCGATCTTGGTGGATGCGTCGATCAATTTACAGCCAGAAGTTGGAAAGGTCCTGGGCTCGGGTGTTCATCGCATGGTGGGCATGTCTGGATTGGTGAGATGCATGGGTACGTCGGACACAGCTCGCTGTGGGTGTTCCTCAAGATACGACATCTGTCAGTATTGATCGAGTCAAGCTCCTGTGTAGCAAGGCGAGACGCGTCAATTGATATGCTCTTGTTGAATCATTCTGCCTCCTACAAGATGTATGCCCTATAGATCTGCCCTAATTTCCGGATTGAGTGAAGAACGGAGAAATTGAGGGCCGAGAAACGGCCGGGTCAAGCCGCGGGAAGGAGGATTGAAGGAGGCGACTTTCTTTCCCGGTCATTCATGGATGGCATTCGATCAACAACTTTGAGAACAACTTTCTTCGTTCATTTGAATGCCCTCTCCACTGCGACCCGTGTCATTGCGCTGCTCTCGACGAGCAATTGGCTTAACACGGAGACCAACTCACCAGAGTGGTTGTAGTATTCGCAGCATCAGCAGCAGCAGCAACAACAGCAACAGCAACAGCGGCCGCCCACCAGTTGCCCGCCCAATCAGTCGAGCCCCCACCATCCCCCACCATTCTTCATCCTGTTCTTCTTTCTCCTCTTTCTCTTCTCTGACTCCTCCGGCCGTCCCCTCTTCCACTTCTTCTTTTCCCTCCTCATCCTCCTCCACATCCCCCTTCTCAGACAACACAATGCCTAAGGACAAGGAATCTAAGGTCTCTTTCAACCTGAAGACCCCTAAGGGTACGAAGGACTGGTCCGGGTCCGACGCCCTCCTCCGCGACCGCATCTTCTCCACCATCGCCGACGTCTTCAAGCGCCACGGCGGCACCGCCCTCGATACCCCCGTTTTCGAACTCCGCGAGATCCTGGCCGGCAAGTATGGCGAGGACTCGAAGCTCATTTACGACCTGCAGGACCAGGGTGGGGAGATCTGCTCGCTCCGCTACGACCTGACCGTGCCCTTCGCCCGCTGGCTGGCCATGAACCCGGACGTGCGCAGCATGAAGCGCTACCACATCGCCAAGGTGTACCGGCGCGACCAGCCCGCCGTCAGCAAGGGCCGCATGCGCGAGTTCTACCAGTGTGACTTCGACATCGCCGGCACCTTCGACCCCATGGTGCCCGACGCGGAGATCCTGCGCATCGTCACCGAGGTCTTCGAGGAGCTGGGCTGGAAGGGCCGCTACAACATCAAGATCAACCACCGCAAGATCCTCGACGGCCTCTTCGAGGTCTGCGGCGTCCCCGCTGACAAAATCCGCCCCATCTCGAGCGCCGTCGACAAGCTGGACAAGATGCCGTGGGAGGACGTGCGCAAGGAGATGGTCGACGAAAAGGGACTGGACGGCGCCGTCGCCGACCAGATCTGGTCCTACGCCCAGAAGAAGGGCGGCCGCGAGCTGCTGGACGGCCTCCTCGCGGACGAGACCCTGACGGCCAACGCCAACGCCAAGGCCGGTCTCGACGACATGGCGCTGCTGATGGACTACCTCGAGGCCTTTGGCGTGCTGGACCGCATCTCCTTCGACCTGAGTCTCGCCCGTGGGCTGGACTACTACACCGGCGTGATCTACGAGGTCGTCACCGAGGGCTCCGCCCCCGCCGTGCAGAAGGGCTCCGCGGAGGCCCAGGCCGTGCAGAAGAAGGCCAAGAAGGACAAGTCCAAGACCCTGGAGGACGACGACCGGTCCAACGACCCGACACTGGGCGTGGGCAGTGTCGCCGCCGGTGGCCGCTACGACAACCTCGTGGGCATGTTCCTGCCCAAGGCCCAGATCCCCTGCGTGGGTGTCTCCTTCGGTGTCGACCGCATCTTCTCCATCACCAAGGCGCGCATCGAGCGTGAGAAGAGCGCCGAGGCCCTCCGCAGCAGCGAAGTCGACGCCTACGTCATGGCCTTCGGCGGTAAGGGCTTCACCGGCATGCTGAAGGAGCGCATGACCGTGTGTCAGTCGCTGTGGAACGCAGGTGTCAAGGTATATTCCTCTCCCTACCTTTAGAACTTTCCTTTTCGTTCCCCCACTAATCTTTCAAACCATGCAGGCCGAATTCTCCTACAAGGTCAAGCCCAAGCTCCCCCAACAATTCAAGGCCGCCGAACAAGTCGGCGTCCCCTTCGCCGTCATCCTCGGCGAGGACGAGCTCGCCGCCGGCAAGGTCCGCATCAAGGAGATGGGCCTCGAGGACGGCCACCCCGAGAAGGAAGGCGTGCTGGTCGACCTGGCCGCCCTGCCGGCCGAGATCAAGACCCGCGTCGCCAACAAGCGCCGTGGCCAAGACGTGCAGGAAATTACGGAGCAGTTGGAGGCTACCAAGGTAGAGGCTTGATTCATTTCAAAAGAAAAAAGTTACACAAAGGAAGCGGGGCAAAATACAATGTGTGCATATTAGATACACGCGCCAAAAGAAAATTTCACTAAGAGGGGGGAAATGTTGGAAAGAATACCCAGTTTTTTTTTTAGATTGCAGTCGAATTGAGAGCGTGGAAGCGTTTCGAAGACTTTGTTTGGAGTTCGGTTTAGAGTGGTGTAATGCTGTGCTGGTGTGCCAGTGTACCTTTATTTTCTACTTGCTTTATGTGAAAGCTTTGTAAGGGGAAGAGTGCAGGACAGCTACAGTGCAACTACTTTAGATGCTGCCAACCATGCGACATCCTTAGTTCCATAATCAAGACCAGATATGTAGTAGCCAAAAGAAGGTAATATAGTCATACACGGGAAGAGAAAACATAGGGCGGAACTACCTCTCTATCCAGGCATGAATCACTGCGCCCCCCGCATCAACAGCCCCTTCACGAACGGCACCGCATCAATGACATCCAGCCCGAAGCTGCGCGCCCACGCCACCGGCCCGTTGCCGGGGACGTTGTACAGCTTGTGCAGGACGTCGCAGGCGCCGCCGATCTTGGCGTTGGTCGCGAAGCGCTCCCCGGCATAGCGCTCCAGGGTCAGCAGGTCGCCGACGTCCATGCCGTGGGTGGCGGCGTACTCGACTGTCTGGGCCAGCGCGGCCACGTCGCCGAGGCCCAGGTTCAGGCCCTGGCCGGCGAGCGGGTGGATGACGTGCGCGGCGTCGCCGATCAGGGCGACGCGCGGCGAGATGTAGGTCGAGGCGTGGCGGAAGCGCAGCGGGAAGGAGGCGACGCTGCCCTCTTGCACGCCGGTGACGAGTGGCGGCAGCTGGCTGGGCTTGCGGGGCTGCGGGGTGTGTTGCAGGCGCCAGGTGAGTTCGTCTTCGTGCGGGTCGACGGCGGCGGAGGAGGAGGAAGAGGAGGAGTCGGTGGATGTGGGAGAGGTGGCGGAGGGGCGTTCCATGCGAAGCATGTAGGTTAGATCGATCATGGAGAGGCGGAAGGCGGCGTTGACCGTCGCGGTGAAGGCGCGCGGGGGCAGGGATTTGAGGTATGCGGCGTTGGCGACGGTGGTCGACCAGACGAGGCTGGCTGTGTTGTTGGGGAGGGGCAGGAGGGCGATGGGACCGCCGAGCGCGGGGAGGAAGCGCTGGAAGGCGGTCTTGATGTTGGGGGTGCTGTGCACCGGGTCCAGGTCGGACAGGGAGAGCGTCGCGACGACGCCGTGTCGGTCGTAGTCCCAGCCTGAGGTGGAGATGTCGGCGAAGCGCCGGACGGGGCTGTTGATGCCGTCGGCGCCAACGAGGAGGCGGGCGGCGATCTGCTTGGGCGGTTGTGCGGAGGAGGAGGTCGTCGTCGGGGCGAGGGAGAGGACGGGCCAGGCGGAGAGGTCGGGGCCGTCGGGGATGTCGGAGCCGTTGGCGATGGAGGAGACAGTGGTATTAGAGAAGATCGAGAGGTTCTCGTCTCCAGACTCGGCGATGCGCGAGAGGAGGGCGCGCACTAGGTTGGAGTTCTCGGTCATGGTTGCGACGGTGCGCAGGTCCTCGAACGGCGAGGTCTCCATGGACCAATCGAAGGTAATGCGCGAGCCGGTTTCACCATCCCAAACCTGCATTTCTTGGTAGGGCTGGACACGCGCTGTGTCGACATTGTCCCAGACGCCGATTTTCTGGAGGAAGGAAACGGAGGAGGGTGTGAGACTGCTGACGCGGTTGGAGTAGTGCTGCGCATCGAGGGACCATGAGCGGGCTTTCTGCAGGTCCTGGGTCTCCACGAGGGCGACCTTGAGCTTGGAGGTAGCGGGGGTAGCTCCTGATCTTTGTTAGGTCATGTCCATGGGATATAGGAAGTTTGAGACTGCATACGTAGAGCTGCGAGCAGGCCTAGACCTGCAGGACCACCGCCGACGCAAACGACATCGTAGATCTCGGGCGATGCGCTGCTCGGGGTGGAGGCGGATGCGAACCGGCGGCGAGCGGAGAGACGACCCAATTGACAAGATGGGCAGACGTAGGGCCGTGTGGCCGTTCGTACAAGAGCGCGCATGGTGATGTTGAAGTATTCGAACAAAAGACGACGCGGTCATCAACCGGGAATTATCCGGACGGAATCGAAGTATCGGGTGGATGTTGGCTGATTGACGGCTTGCAAACCAGACAAACCAGACAAACGGCCGCTCACCTACACTCGACCACTCGACCGCCTGACCGCCTATACCACCGCCTTAGGCGGCAGAATGCTGGCAACCTCCAGGCTCGCGAGTCGAAATGCCAAAAACGCCAGGAACAGCCCGGAAATAAAGTGGAGCCAGACTGGTCAATCGAGGCGGTGGCAGAAACCAGCGGGCACCATCTCCGTCACCCTCGGACTTCGTTCCCGAATTAGCATGAGTAGATGGAGTATATACTCTTCCTTATGTCTGTCTGTATCCAAGAAGATGAGATCAGCTTCTCTCTCGCAAGGCCTCACACAGTGCCCTGCCTCTCCACCCCAACACTGACTTCACTGTCTTCTCTGCATAATATGCATCCGCAACCTCCAAACCTCAATCCCCAGCACCAAACCCCGAGAAATGAAGAAATGGAAAACATTCCCTGCCGATCAAATGACTCAGTGGCAAACCATAATCGCCCAAAATTCCTTTTCTTTGTGCATAACTCAACTCACTTACCTATACTGCGTAATTTGAAACAAACCTTTCACGCCCAGCATACCAATCCCAGCCAGTACTCATGTACCATACGCGTTCACAGCCCCCCTAATGCACTCACTCCGCCACAATCCCGTCAGACATGCAATGCAGACCTGAAGGAGTCGATAAGTTAGTAGACCAGAAAACTGATCAAAAACAAATAAAAGAAATCTGGCCCCTTTCCTTGGGAGCTCTTGAAAATACTGTCGCACTGTTCATCCCATCCATACCTATAGTACATGTTGCCAATATCGCAGACTGTGAGAACCTGAATAGAACCGGCTCAATCCTGACCGCAAGCCTACCTAACCATGGCATCCAACGCCCCATCTACACCGTCCCATACATCCACAACAACAACAACATCACCACAAACATCACCACCCAAATCCCAACCCCTCCACCTGAGCGCCAACTTCGCCTCCCCGCAATCCCACCAAATCGACTACGACCATGAAGTCTACCTGCGCCTGATCGCCGGCGAGAACCCGAAGGACAGCACACAAATCACGAAGACGCCGAATCAGATCTATCGCGAGGTGGGTCTCACCCCCTTTTCGTCTGGGTCATGTTCAGAGCGGAAAGGCAGCTCCAAGACTAATCTCCGGGGCATGCACGGCAACTATAGAAGCTCGTTCGGAGGCAAACGACTCGCGCCTTGGATTTGGCGGTTCTGGATCCGTCGGTGGGGCAGCAGAATCCGAGTCCGGTGGATTTGGAGTGGGCGGAGAGTCAGAGGGTGAGGGATCGGTTGGTGGGGAGTTAGGGTTGGGGGTTGTATAGATCTGGGGAAAGGGAGATGAATCCGGGGGAAAGAGTATACATAATGAGACGTCGTGATTGTTTTTCATCAGCCTAGCTCTTTTTGTCTCTCCTCTTCACCCCCCTTCTGCTGTATGGAATGAAAAACCCTTGATTGACAGAGGAAGAGGTATAAGCAGGCACGGCAGGCACGGCAAAGCAACAGGCTAGTCCGATAGAACAATAGAGAGTATACCTAGAGGGAGTTGGAACGCACAACATGATCATAAAACACAACGCACACAAAGCTACCGACTTTGGCCGGTCCCAGCTTCCCCCGCGTTCTCATCCAGATCACCCTCCATCTCGGCGACGAACCGCTCCCAGGTATTCAGCACGCCCTGGTAAAAGTCGATGTGCTTCTCCGCCATAGCCCCCAGGGTGTCTTTGAACTCCACCGCCTTGATCCGCTCGAAGTCGGCCACCTCGCGCACCACCTCCTCGTCGAACATCTCCGACGTTGTCTTGGCCGATTCCACCTCCCGTGTCAACTCGTCGATCCGAAGCTCCAGTTTCCGCACCCGTTCGCGCCGCGACTGCTCGTGGTCGACTCCCCGCATGTCCTCCATCTTGGATCGGATGAACGATGCGGGCGACGAGGTCAGCGGATTCGAAGCATAGTACGACGACGGGTTCGAGGCCAGCGAATCCCGCTCAGCCACGGCTTTGTTCCGATAATCCACCAGGGCCTCGAAGTCCAGTTGCTTCTGCTCGCGCGTCTTAAGCAAGGACTTGAGCGACACAATGTACGCCTCCATATCCCGCAACGAGCCCAAGTAATTCTGATCGGTGTGGTCCTTGAGCGTCTTCAGGCCACGGCCGGTCTCCTCCACCGAGGCCGCGAACACCTGCAACGGCACCTCCACCTCCGGCTCCAGTGGCGTCAGCTTCCGGAACTGCGTCGCCAAGTCGTTGTAGTCCGCTTCGAGGTCCGACTCCCGTCGCGCGACCCGAGCCACGATCTTCTCCACGTGATTCAAGTCCTCGTCCAGCTTATCGGCCTTCTCCCGGACCTCGATGAATCGCCGATCCGGCTTGTGCACCTTGGTGAACGCATTGACGAACGTGTCAGTGAAGTTGTCGAACAGGCCCGGCACCCCACTCCCGTCGGACGTGCTGGTCGAGTTGCGAGACGAGCGCAGCCGCATGTGAGCGTTCCAGTCGGGCGACTCCAGGAAGATCGCCAGCAACGGCGCCCGACGCAACACCGGGTGCAACGTCAGACGCTTCAGGAATCGATGTAGAGACCACGCGCGGCGTGTGGTGAACTCCGGCCCAAACCGATCGCCTCGGACATACTCCATCTTATGCTTATCCGGCAGCGGCGGGACCGCGCACGCGGGATACTCGCGGTACAGCGTCTTGTAGAGGAAGTAGAAGTCGGTGAATCGTCGTCGTACGGTGAACTCGGATTTTTGAAAGGACTTGAAGTCGGTCTGTGACAAGCAGGTAGATTAGAACTCGAGTCCATCCTGTCCCTAGCATCCTCCTCCCTTTCCCCTCCTCCCCCGGGCGGCTAGGCAGCCGTGCTGGCAGCGACAGCGACACCGCGTATGAAGGGACCACCCACCTGTGTCGTGACCAAGTAGGATATGTATGCATCTTTCGTGCCGTCATTCTCCTTCAGAGGCGAGTCGACCCGGCACTCGAGCACGCCGTCTCCGATCCCAGCGAGATCCACGGCATCGGCCATTGGTCCGGCTTGGGTGTTCTCTTGGGCGGAGCTCATTCGTCGCTTGCCATTGACATCATGACCGTATCCATGCGGCTCTTCTTCTGCGTCCGTTCCGGAGGTTGTAGGTCGTGAGACATCACTGTCGGGTTCGTGGCGCCACGAGACGCTGTCGAAGTCGTCGTGGTGATCCATCGAGCGAGGGGTTCGGCTGCCGTCGAGAGCCGGCGGGGGATTTATCTGCGCTGTGTCGGAACTACGTGCCTGATTGGGAAGTTGAAGCCTGACAAAGGGCGTGCCGGAATCACAACATGGGAAGAATAAGTGATGAAGTGGGGTGGATTGTTGTAATGCGGAGAAGAATAGCTTTAGGTCGCAGGATGTGGAGGTGAGGTTCCGTTGAGGGTCGGGGGGTCGGGGGGAAGCAGCTGCCGTCATTGCCAAGATCCCTCCCGAACTGGGACGAAAGCGACTAGACTGTGGACTCGGTGGGTAGTTACTAGGTAGTTACGAAAATAGTTACTATGTAGAAGGTGCAAGGTAATGTACGAATCGCTCTCGACTCATCGCTAATTCTTACCATCCTCATTGTTATTACGAGGTGTTAGCTATCCTTGCTATATACACAGCTTTTCTCCTTTCGCTTTCATGCACTTGAAAAGAAGACACCTTCTCAGCAATCCAAAGGGAATCAAAAGTGAGTAATAATGCTCATAATGCCATAGATCAAGCAACATGAAATAAGTAAAGACCCAAACGATCAGAAAGTCTATTCGTCCGCTGTTCTCGGATGGTGTCCTCCAGTTGCACCATCACGGTCATGTTCCTCGCTGATGCCCCGGTCCCTGTACGGTTCTTCATCGTCGTCGCTGAAGAGGGGCTCTTCGTCGCTCTCCCCAGCAAAGGCGTTGTATAACTCACCACCGCGGCGGCGAGTGCGCGCCGACCGTCCATTCATCGCTTGCAGCTCATCCTCGTCCTCAACCATCTCAAAGTCATAGTCGTCCCGGCTGTCGTTGCGGAGGCGTTTGCGGCGCTGGACATGGAAGTAGACGCCTAATCCGATGCAGAAGACGATAATTGACCCGATCGCGGCATAGATCCAGGCTTGGGTTCGCTTCGATGCGCCAAATGTTGGGAAGAAGGATGGCAGGAAGCTGTCGGAAGCGGCTGAGGGCGAAGCAGCAACGTCAGTCTCGGTAGGGGAGACCAACTTGTCCTCGGTTCCAGTCGGCACCGCCGTTGTAGTGGGCTTGACGTTCACCGGACGATCAACGACATCGGTAGGCTTCGCGGGAGGCTGCGTCTTGGCAGGGCCAGGATCAATGCTGGTCGTGGCCACACTGGTGTCCTCGTATTCGTGGTCGTCATCGTGTTCGGTAGGCATGGGGTGCAAGGGCTGGTTGGTGCCATCGATAGCCTCTCCCCAGAGATTAAGCCGCCAGTCGATGAATTGACCGCTGTGCTCATTGACAAGAGTATCCTTGACGATCACGGTCCATTTGCCGACACCAGACTCGCCCCTAGGAATAGATTAGCACAAGCCAACAAGGGAAGAAGAGACGAGTGACTTACCAGTGCGCAACACTCATAAAAGTCCAGTCCACATAGCCCTCCCGCTCATTATCGGGTTCTCTGGCCGTACTGAGGTGGCTGACCAGCCCTTCCGGGCTGCGCAATTCAACGCTCAAGTCTCCACGGCGTGTATGGTTCACATTCATCGTTACAGTCACATGCTCCAGGCGCTCGAGGTTGGCTTCATCCATCATTGCTCGAGTAACCTCGTACGAGCTGGCCAGTCCTTGGTCGCCCTGTGGGACCTCATGGTGTACTCGCAGCCATGGGGAGTGGAACCATGCTTGGGGCTTCACCAGGTCCCAAGTCTTCGCTTTCTGCACCAGCGTGTAGGCGTCGACCCTGCCGAATCCCCAATCGTGACTGAACTTCCTGCCGTTCTTTGTATCCTGCCAGCTCCCATCATTCTCGTGGACAGGTACTGCTGACTCCACCATCAGATATTGGGCATCGCGCCAAGTAAGCTCGGGTCTCACGCTGAGCGCGAGAGCCAATGTACCTGCAGCCAGCGGACCGGCGGCAGAAGTACCTCCATGCGACGAGTAGCACTTGTCAGTACCCACATCGGTAGTATGAATTGCGTCGTTTGAGCCGCTGCTGTATGCGACAACCAGCTGAGCTGAGCAAGATTCGGAGTAGCTGGGGTGTTTGTTCTCACGATCGATTGCACCGACGGTGATGCTGTAGATGCTGTTGGTATACCCATCAAAGTTGCAGTTGTCGTCATAATTTGCCCCATTGCCGGCCGCGAAGACAAAGATCGAGCCTCGTCCCCCGCGACCGTTCTGAATGCCATTGACCATAGCGCGCTTGATCAAGACACCGGGTGCCTCCATCGTGGCGCCATCGTCGAACGGACCCCACGAGCACGAGTAGATATCATTGTCTTGATAGGCATAGTTGATGGCTGCTGCCTCGTCGGTGTCGTCGATTGGTTCGGACAGAATTCGGATGCCTGAAATGCGACTATCGTAGGCGACACCCACGCCGCAAACATCGTTTCTTGCCGCAGCAATCTCACCCGCGCATCGGGTGCCGTGATGGTCGTCGCTGAGACGCGGCCTCGGTTCAGGACCCTTGTCGTTGTAGTCGTACGAGCCCTCGGCGAAATAGTTGGGTTTGAGATCATTGCTGTACATATCTAACCCATCATCGACCACTGCAGTAGTGACGCCTTCTCCGGTAATACCCTCCAACCAAAGCCCGGTTACATTCAGATCATTCCCAACCTGGATAGTATTGTAGAGATGCCATTGCCCGTTGAAGATGGGGTCTGCGATCCCCAGGGAAGTTATAATCTGCTGTTGAGCCTGAGCGGCTACCGGGTCCTCTTTGGGGGCAGCGGGCGACCGGTGGACATTCACTGGCTGGGGAATTCGTTTCTGGAATCTCTTCTTCGGGGCCTGCTTTTCGGACCAGAGAATGCCATCGAGCCCCTCCACTCTCTTGCTCAAGGCTGGGAGGCCAGCAACCGAATCGCCGGAGCGTCGTCGCAAACTCCTCCGATGCCGCAGCTGATCCAACAGCGTGGTGACTTCATCACTGCTCTCTCTGGGGATGGAGAAGGTATGGTGTTGCGGCAGTTCTCCGATGGGGCCTTCGTGGCGAGCTCCCAGTCGCTGTGCGATGTCAGCTGGGGAGGCGGAGTCGTCTAGATGCAAGGCGAAATAATCGCGTGTCTCGTAGAATCGGTGAGGGTGGAGGGAGGCCGAGGCAGTGGCAGAGGCACAGAGGAAGCCGAGGGCCACTGCGGCACCACCAGAAAGACGCATGGCGGGAGCGCAGTCGGTGGGATAGAATGTCTATTCAATGAGAGATGAAAAGAGATCGGGCCAGGTGATATAGTGATTGCGGCATAGACACCGAAGTTGTCTCGCAACCGGGCAGCGATCGACCAGGGGAGTCCGCGAGACCGAGGCTAGGTGGTAACGATGGAAGAGGAGGTGTTTTGAGGGGTGGAATGAGTGTGAGAGGTGTTGATTGATAGGTAGTCAATTAGACCCGACCCCAAAATTCTGGGGGGATGAATTAAAGGAACGTGTTCTCAATAAGTTAGCAATTGGTTTAGCGGTAGGGGTTAAGTTACGCCTCGGGGCGGCAAAGCATAGACTAAGATAGCAGCACGCAAGTTAGCGACCGACTCCCGTGGCTGGAGACAAAGACGGGAGTGAGTCTGCGACACCCGTGCTCCTTTCTTTGAGCCTTTGAGCCATCCTGGACTCTAACCTGCCTGGGCTTAGAGTCAGCCCAGTGGGTTCTTGGCACCTGGGCCTGACGTGGGCACCCCAAGCTGAGTCAGTCCTCCATACGTGAGTATCAAAGCACGACGAAATCATTCTTAGTTATTGCTCGGACATAGGTTCATTTGACATTCATTGGAGCTATAGTTCATTCACCGAGTCTTGAAGGATTTTTCCACTGGGATGCATGTCGTTGACCTCGAATACACCACAAAGACGCTACAGAGTTCATCTTGGCGAAACATGACGGTCAATAGGGGTAAACACCCGGTCACAACTGATGACAGATCGGGGTTGACTGGTGAGATAATGACTATGTCGGTGGTAAATACGACGCAACATCAGATGCTATGAAAGCTGGCTGAGATGTCAAGAAAAACATGTAGCCATAAAGAGGGCAAAGCAAACCAAAAAATAATATGTGGACTTGCTCACACTCGGACTCGAACCGAGGATCTCAGCATTACTAGTGCTGCGCTTTACCATCTAAGCCATGCGAGCGGTGTTGTCTTATGGCTTCAATAGGATGTTATCCATCTCTAAAAGCATCTACTATAGATTGTTTCGAATCATCATGGGCAACGACCAGGTATGCGACAAACCAGGACCATCCAACCCAGGCAAAATTCGCAAGAGAAGCTGCACAGAAAGCCGCATTGCTTATTTGTCCAATTGACTGATGACTGTCTTTCTCGCTTACATGGTGCATACAACCAGCACTACTACCTACGACTCGAGGTACTGAAGCATACTGGATCCTTTCCAGCTATTCACCTATAGTTCAAGTGAGCTCGGAGTCTCAGCCCGTGCCTCGTCCTCAGACCAAACAATTCGGATTGTTGGACGGTGATCTTGCGATCAACACATGCAAGTGAGTCTCCACCCAGCAGCAGCCCTGGTAAATTTGCTACTATACTGGGACGTCTGAGGACAGTGGATGCATAAAGCCAGTGGTTGCCCTACAAGGTAAGAATTGGGAGTGGAAGAAGATAATTTTACGCCGTGCGGCATTTGTCTTGCAAGGATATCGATTGCATGTACATACTAAAACAATTGAGACTAAAAGGGTAAGATATTGGTGTAACTTTCCCAATTCCTTCAGCAGGGGCGGCATTTAACATGCGAGACAAAAGAAGGGGCACAAAAAAAACGACACCTGTGAGATTCGAACTCACGCGGGCGAACCCACTGGCTTAGCAGGCCAGCACCTTAACCACTCGGTCAAAGTGTCCAATTGTTGATGAGTGGCAAATATCTACAAAATATCACATATGAGAATCCGTCGTTCTCGGAGAATCACTTTGGCATCGACCAAACATCGTTGATTGATCGATCAGATAAGATGTTCGAAGATTGCACGACGTCAGAACCAAGTCATGGATATGACGGCTCCCGGCGAGGTACGAGAAAAGTCACCCATATGTATGACAAAGGCTTCTTGAGCTTTGTGTGGGTTTGCTTAGAGTGTGGTAGTCTTACTGTGCTTGCAGGGTTGCGGATAGAAGCCAAGCCAAGGGAGAGCTTTCCTTTCTTAAACGAACTGGGGGAAGAGGTGCTTCACATCCATGCTCTGACTGCTCAAGCCCTTTCTCTATTCCAGAGATATGCCGCCTTTATGCATCAGCGCACTTGAGATATCATAAGGCTCTAAGTCAACATCAAGCAACAGTGGCATGTCAGGTAAGCGAGGGTAATGGGCGTCAAATGCTGTGGTGGAAAGTTCCCTTCCGATAAAAGGTTTTGCTGATGAAAAACTCCTACAATACATTGTCCTCTTGTGCCTCTAGATGCGCCGGAGAATATAAATATGCTTGAAGCACCCGAAGAATCATTGGTTTGCGGCCAGCCCGTGGTGTCTCTAGATCTCCCAGAGTCCCAAGTAAATCTTGCCGGTCCGGTTGCAAGCTCTGCTACTACCTATTTCCATATTACTTGACATTCTCATAAAACGCTTGTCCTTGTGTGGCTTGCCCACTAAATCATCATGGATCAAGGGGCTCATTCTTGTGGCGATTTGGAAGATGGTCAGGCATTGCCGCCGAGTAGATCTGAATCCCAGCCCCACAATACCCAGGACGAGCCCCATGAACGTGGAAGGCGTCGTCGGACCGGTCCCGAGGATCCATGTCTGATCTGTCTTGCTCCGCTGGGGATAGACACAGCCGTGCTGGAATGGTGTAGAGCAGAGTGCGGTACAACCTTCCACATAGCCTGTTTGTTTACTTGGTGGCGCACATCTGGGCATGAAGAGATGACCTGCCCTGCTTGTCAGCGTCGCTGGCTTGATGTGGACAAGATTAAGGAATGGAACACTTGATTTCCTGCCTTTGTCGGAGAGACACTCTTTGTAGTCGTCGTGCAATTTGTTGTCGCATGATTGCACCGGCTTTATGGTTAGTTAGACACCAAAGGTGGCCAGGCCCCGAGTCCAAGGCTTGATATAAGAAGGAATCTAAACTTTATTACTGCATAAATTGTCCCAAGGAAAAAAATCATACAATTTGGCTCTACCACAACGTTGTGGACCATGTTATCAGACCTTGTGGCAGAATGCTTGTCCCGATCATGCATACTCTACAGGCACTGTAGGCCCTGCTCGCTCCCTTGGTGTGTGGCAGGAAATGACATAAGCTCGTGTCTGGGGCCTGTAGAATACTCCGTCAGTCACAGCCTCGAGGACATCACTTGCCACCATTTGTGTGAGTGGTCTCATTGACAATGTTCCATACACACGCTGTAATGCGCGCCACGTTGTGGTGTTTCGGCCTATTTCATTTGAGATTTCATCGGAGAAGTTCAAGTAGTCTGCCTAATTGGGTGGAGCTGTTATCCAAGTACTCTCGCTCCGTGTGTGGTGAGTGTTGACCTGAAGAGTTTCCATGACCACTTAGCCGATGCAGACTTTGCTCTGTCACTTGCTCCCGCTGTGTGCTAATAATACTCCTTTCGTCAGTATAACCACCAAAGCCAACTAGCTACCTAAGGTACTGGAATTTCTTCGGAAGCTGCATGCTCGAGTATGGCATGAATCGAGCTGATTGGCCGGTTGGTTGTATACATCTGCCCTACGGCATTTCCATCCCGTTCCCGGCTGGACGCTCCTGGGTTACCACAATGCATTTTCGCCCGATGGGTGCATCACTCGTTTGTTCAGCAATGCTGAGCTGCATATGAGGGGCTGTTCGCGGTGAAGACGTTGAGCAACCTACTCGATGGAAGCCATCGGGTTCGTAAGAAGCACAGCGGCCGCACGGTACCGGGCTGCAGGACTCGGATATGTCATATCCCTCTTGCGACCCCGTCGATTATAATTGTCGGCTTTTCGGGTGTCAGGGTCGTGCGACTGCGCCTCTTGCGGGTGCGTATCGATCGGTCAAACACACGGAAGAGGAGTACATTGAGTAACGACCAGTCTGCACGACGGAAGGCTTGCAGTCCCAGAAATCGGCTTCCCGGGCTCCCTTCTTTCATGGATCGGGCCCATCCGAGCCGTGGTGTGGGGTCAGGGCGGTAGTACCGCTGCTCAACCCGAGCTGGTTCGACGCATGTATCTGGTCGTCGTGTATGGCAGGATGAGCATTCGAGCAATGGGGTCTGGATGATGAAGAATGTTGGAGAGTATACCTGGGGTCTCTGACAAAAATAGATATACGACACCTGTGAGATTCGAACTCACGCGGGCGAACCCACTGGCTTAGCAGGCCAGCACCTTAACCACTCGGTCAAAGTGTC